TTAAGATTGCAGCTATGCATTAGTTTAAGTTGTAAAGTCGATTAAATGGGAAATCCCAGGCAAGTGAGGTTGATTGTTATATTGCTCTCTTAACGGTAGGCTAAACAAGCAGGCTGAGTCCACAGACCTCAAAATTATTAACTCTGGCTTTGAGGCCCAGGAAAAGCCTCTTAGAATGTAAGAGATATTTTTACCATAAGGCATTGCCACAGAATCCTTTTTCCACATTTATTTATCTATTAAGAGGGTTGTGCTAATGCTACAGTGTAAATGTAAGGGTCACAGGACAACCTGCAGGAGTTAGTTCTCTCCTTTTACTATGTGCTTCCGGGGTTAGAAGTCAAGTCACCAGGCTTAGTACCAGATGCTTTACCCTCTAAGCCACCTCGACAGATCTCTGGGTTATTGGTTTCCCTTTATGTTTTGAGACTTGCTTTATGCCCTAATGTAATCAGTTTGGGAACAATTGCCTTCTGAGGAGAATGTGCAGTCTTCAAGTAGACATAGTGCTCTGTGGGTGTCTCTTAGGTCCGTTCGATTTTGTTGTCTGATGAGTCTCCTTGATTTTTGTTTGGCTGTCCTATGGGTGAGGTACTGAAGTCACCCACTCTCGCTGTACCGATTTAATCCACGGTTTTAGAACGAGGAGTACTTGTTTTACGAATCTGAGTGCTCCTGTGTCGGGGCATAAATGTTTAGGACTGTAATATCTTGCTGGTGGATTTTTTTCTTTAATGAATGTGAAGTGCCCCTCCACATCTCTTCTGTTTTGGTTTGAAGTCTGTTTTACTGGGTATTAGAATAGCCACTGCTGCTTGTTTCCTGGTTCCATTTGCTTGGAACACACACAGATAAATAAACATAAAATTTGTTTTTAAATCTGGAAACGCTTGGCCTAACCCTGGCTTAGGTACAGCAATCCAGAGTTCACTTTCCCTTTAAGCCACTCACTGCTATCAGTGGGCACAAAACTCACAGTCCAAATGAGAAGTTAAAGCTTCCGCCACCCCACCAAGATTTTATTCATTTCAATGAATGATCCTGATAGTGACACAAAACACTTATTTAAATCTCACTCTCCCGTCCTGGCACAACCATCAGGAAGGAAGCTGAGAGGTACAGTCTCTTCATCCTCCCCTTTCGCTTCTGCAGGGCAGGAGCTAACAAGGAATGTCCTTTCCCAGTCATCCCTCAAGATGAGTGAAGGAACTGTATAATTAACGTACTTCCAGGGATCAGGATTAAAAAGCAAAAATAGCTCTCCATGCCATCACTTTGGTGCGAATGGATGTCCTGGCCAGCGCTCTAGAGAGCATCAGCAGTGCTGAGAAGATAGGAAGACAGGCAATCCTCACTCTCCAGAGTCCTTGTCTGGTTCCTCACGGTGATGATGAAGCGTGGCTACACTGGTGAGTCTGAGATCACTGAGGAAAAACAGAACTGGGAAAATCTCTGTGAACTTCACGGGCAGGTTAGACGAGCAAGATCAGCCCTGGATTGGATGTTCAGCTCAAAGACCTAGGGAAAATGGCAGGGTGATCTGTTCCCACCTCATTTGGTTTCATTGTACCGACGGCCACAGCTGGTATCACGGACTATGAAGAAGCAAGATGAAAACACAAGAGGGAGAACTCCTGGGGTTCTTTTTCTAGGGGTGTAAAACACACATATAAACTAAATGCCTCAGTGGGAGAAAGAAAGATGTGAAGACCACCAGCCAAAGACACTAAGGCAGAACAAGTGGGGTTTGGAGTCCTGAGCAAAAGACCACAATGCCTGCGGGTGGCATGGTAGAGTAACCACACTGATGGGATTGCTGGCTGCCAAGTGTGTTGATTCCATCCTGTTTCCAGTTGCCGCCATTTTCCATACCGTACATGCACAACTTCCTCCACGTGAGGCTCCCTTCTGCTTCTCCATAGGGTCCGCTCTCAGTCTTCCTTCAGGGTCCAAAATCCCTCCTCCAGGCTTCTGCTGTCTGCATGGGAGCCCTGATAGGAAGGGCTGCAAACAGGAGGCCCCAGTCAAGATTTTGAAAGTGAGGCCAATCCTAGTGAGCTGGTTGCCATCTGGAGCAGAGTACAGGGAGTACAACTGGAAAATGGAACCCTGATTTTCTGATTATGAAGAAGGAGGCATCAACTAACAACAGTCACCAAGGTTAGCCTGAGGCCCTGATCGCCAGACTCCTACGAAACTGGGAGGGCCTGGGTCTCACACACTTCCATTTCCAGTGAGGAAAATGACTCTGCTTGAGACCTGAGACCTGAGACCACAAGCCACAGAGAGGAAGTCTATCTGGGCGGCCCAGCAGGCAGAGTAATTCCTGGAAGGAAGCTCCCATCCCAGGAATCTGGTAGAGAGGAGCATTGTTGAATCTCTGCGCCAGGCGCTGCTTGCTGCCAGTATGCAGGAGCTGACAACAGGAGGAATGGGTCACCAGCTGGGCAGCCTGGTTTTTGAACTGGGATACAGCACTGTGCCCAGTCACTGGACTCCATCCTGTGGCTCAGGCTAGCATGGGGCTCAGAGGGAGGCAGCCTGCAGTCTCTGTTCCTGGCTTTCCCATTGTTTCTCAGTTGCAGTTTCCTTGCCTGTTTGGTGAACCGAAAAAGCTGTATTGCCACACATGTAGAGAGGGTAACTGGAGTGCCCAAGTAAGGTCCCTAGCTAGGCACAGCACATTTTGAAGTCCAGAAGACAGGCCCCACAGGTGAAAGAGCCCTTCCTTTCCCTTTTTTCCCTTCCCTTCCTGTCTATTCCTGTCTATTCCCCTCTCTTCTCTTCCCTTCCCCTTCCCTTTCTCTTCCCTTCTTTTCCTTGTGTGCATGCAAGCCTTCGTGTATACGTGTGTGTGTGTGTGTGTGTGTGTGTGTGTGTGTGTGCATTTGCACATACTTTCCAGTCTTTGGAACAAAGCTAGCAGTCAGGCTTGAATAGAAGGCTGAAGCACAACTGTAAAGTTCTCTCCATCGGCCCTTAGCATAAGTGGGTTTAGATCGCAGAAAAACATGTGTTACATTTTAATGTTACCTTCTGCTCTAAAGCTGCCTGCTGCTCTGCCATGTCGTGGGTACTAGGAGCAAGGAGCTCTGCTCTGCCTTCCAAGCTCACAGATTTCTTCTTGAACACCTATGTGGTCGTACGTGAGGCCATGGGCTTTCTGAGCAGACAGAGCACCCAAAGAAAAGTGCAAGGGCCTTGTTAAGCCTGAAGAAGAGGGGTGATGATGGTAAGGAGATCACAACCAGGGCTGGCCCAGGTGGAGCAAATGTTTGGAAGCTCAGAAGGTCTGTGCTTGAAGAGCATGAGAAAAGTTGGAGGCTGGGTCTGGGAAAGACAGTTAGGGACATTAACCAAGGGTGTTGCATGCTTTGAACCTGTAGATTTGGCAGAGCCATGGAGAGTGCTAGATTCATGCATGATGGGTAGGATGTCTGTGTTTGAAAGTCCACCAGATACAAATTAGAGATTGGATGGGCAAGATTGGAAGAGAGGGCATCCCTGAAAGAGGAGGCCTCACCTGAGCAAAGGCCCAGAGTAGCCTAGAAAAGGCCTAGAAAAAGCCTGTCAAGGCGAGGCATGCTCAGAGGCAACCAGAGACGCTGGAAACCTCTGAGGTCAGCGGATAGACCCACAATGGCACCAGAGAAGAGCAGGAGGGAGAAAGGAGGACCCGTTTAGGTGAAGGGTGGGCACTGGGCAGCTCCTTCGTTTGTGCCCACTGAGGCCCAGACTAGCCCTAGATTCTTGTGGATCATGTGCTGTGTTCTGTAGACTGCAGCTGCGCAGGGGTGGGACTGGGACTGATGAGAACCGAGAAGGGACCGAAGCAGAGGTGGAGCTGCGAGAAGAAAGTGCTCTCAGGTCACCGTTGAGCCGAAGCTCACTGAGTGAGGGGTAAAAGCCTACTGAGACAAAGAAACAAGCAGCAGGTATGTGGGAGGGTCAGCCCCGGACCAAGGTTCAAGCCGGAAGGAGGCCTCTGCAAAAAGTCGTTACACAAGCCCCAGACAGAGAGGCACAGACACCTAAGACACCGTGCCACCCACTCATACTGCACAGGTGCGTCCTCAGGCACGCAGGGACTGCTAACTGGACACCTAGCGGGCTCGTACACCCTGACCTAGGTTAGGAAATCCTCGGAGACAGCAGGCACGGCAGTAAGGGCAGCAAGCCTTAGGCAAGGTCACTACATTTTTCTCTGGGCAAAGTGAAAGAAGCAAGGCAGACCAGGAGGGAAAACGGCCTTGCAGAGGGGTGGGATGGCAGAGAACGAAAGCAGTCCCTCTCCTTGTCCGCTGGGTCTAGGAGAGCAGTCACCGGTCGCTGAAGCAGCTGGAGCAGAGGGCCTGACGGATCCTGGAAGCGCAGGTAAGTCCCCTCAGGATAGAGCTCCAGCAGGCCCCTGGCAACCTCAGCTTCCCCTTTATGTATCCTGACCAGAAGCCAGGTCCTGGCATCACCAGGAGGTCCTGGGCTGATACAAGAAGCCTGAGAGCCCCTTTTGAAAGGTTGAGGACTTCTCACCGGTGAGGCAGAAAGGGCGGTCTCCAGCCAGGCCTGAGGTCCCAGGAGACCTGGAGACCTGGCTTCTGCCTTCACCTTCAGTTGTGACCCGCTAGGAATGTGTTGGGGAAGAGACTGCAGAGATCTGGAATAGGGTCGCCCTCCGTGGGGACTAGACTCTGGGTAGCAGACGCCAGGGCCCAGCCTCAGGGTGGGCAGCTGAGGAAGTGGGAGCCTTCGAGGGTCTGGAATTCTCCTCCCACCCTCCTCCCCCTCTGCCTTCTCCCATCCCAACCCCGGGCTGCCCTCCAAGCAGGGGCGGCACCGCTGGCCTACAGTGCTGCGAGCAGCTGGGAGGGGCTCGGGCTGGGCCCCTCGGCAGAGCCCCGCGCGGCCAGGCCCCGCCCCGGCTCGCACATCTGGGCGGCGAGTGCGGCCATCCGGCCTGGGGGAGGGTGCAGAGACCGGCCTGGCGCACGTCGAGGGCCACAGCGGGCTCTGCCTCCGGCTCTGAGTGAGCACCCAGGCGGCCAGATCCGGAGAAGCTGTCTGCAGGGCGGAGGTGAGCTGGGGAAGAGCCTCTGGGCTCCCCAGGGAAGTGCAGGGGCCGCTGCCAGGGACCGTGAGCCCACGAAGTCGCTGGTTGTGTAGAAGCAAATCTGCTAGTTCCTGGAGGAGGCAGTCCCGCTGGCCTGGGCTGGGAGAAGCAGCTGAGCTCTGGCTTCTACCTGGAGCTCCAGAGTCTTAGTCTAGGACAGACCCGGGCTTAGGGGAGGTGAGTGGGGTCTGGCAGGAGAGCCTTTGTGGACTGGGGCCTGCTCTTTAACCAGTTGTGGAGACCTGACGCCCAGGCCGGAGGTGAGACTTGGGAGGTTGAGTCTATGTGTGTCAAGAGGCGCTTCATGAGGCCCCTGTCACTGAGATCCAAGGATGTGGAAGAATGTCTGGGTGGCTAGAGACCTCAGGTTTCTTAAAGGGGCCAGGGTGAGGATCCAAGTTGGGTGGGGTCTGATCTTCTATAGGGTCAGAAGAGTTATCTGTGAAGAAAAGGGAAGGAGACTGTATTATTATTATTATTATTATTATTATTATTATTATTATTATTATTATTATTACCGGGAGCGATGGGCAGGGATGAAAAGGCTTCAGGTTTTGGTGGGACAGAGATTGTGAACCAGTTTTTCTCATGATGTGTGGAAAGCAAAGCCGAGGTGGAGAGTGGGACCATCAGTGACCATTTCCATTTCCCCTAGCCATCACAGGAGGCTGTAGCCTCCTCACTCTACAGTCTTTTCCTGGTCCCATTCCTTGAAGTAATCTCCTCACAGGGTGGGGCAGCCCTTTGAGTCCCATTTCTGATCTGACCCTGGGGCCCCAGTTTGTTGGCCGGGACTAGCTTGGAATAAATGTCGCCTCCGCCTGCTGACATAAAGGGCTGGTAGGGTGCTAGGCAGGAAAGGCAGAGTCCCCGAGAAGATGGACCAGCTAAGATCTGAGTGGGTTCATTGTTCTCATGGGCATCATGTAGAAACAGGAAACCCTTCAATACCACACACCTGCAGAGTTCTGAAGATCGTAGGTACTGGGCACAACCTCCCCAATGACTGACAAATCAGACCTATTACATAGCAGCCAGGGCTGTCAGTCAGGGTGGATCTAAAGGGTTGGAGCCGTAAGGCCAAGAGTCAGGGTAAAGGGGCTGTCTACAAGTAGAGCAGTGATCAGGCTGGGGCCTGGATTTCACATGCATTTTCCACTAGGAAATTGGGTTATTGTATGTAAACCAACTTATCCTACCTGGCGATTCTCAAACTTGGAGGTTACTGCCCTAAAATTAGAAGTCCCTGAGTTAGGGGTCCACTTGTATTTGATTCCAACTCTGTAATCCGGCATAGCTGTTGGAAGCTAAGTTGTCCCAAGCCCTGTAGTCTGCATTCTCCACAAAGGGTTTTTGGGTAGATATGCATGGTATGGTGGGAAGGTCTTCAAGGCACGTGTGTGTCCTGGCACAGCCAGCTCCTTTACCTCCACCTCTCTGGAAACTGCGGAGACTCCTTCATCACAATTTGTTTCATTTCCTACCGCCTTCAAGAACTCAGGGTGGGTACAACAAAATTCTCAGTAAGACCCAGTACTGGCAAGTCACACATACAGAAGCAAAGAACACTGCCCACACATGCCCAGCTCCCTGCCTTTCCCAGAACTTTCCAGGCCTGGATTTGGCCCTTGAAAGCCCAGTGTCACCCATGACACTGAGGTACAGAGAGGTGACACACTCATATCAGGTGCCATAATAGGTCCTGGAGGAAGTATAGGTGTCTATTTGTGACATGGAATGAAGCCTTCAAGTGACAAATCAGTCTTTTTCTCTTCAAGGTTAGTTTCCACTATCCAATAAGCTTGGCCCAGAAAAATCCATCCGTCCGTCCGTCCATCCGTCCATCCATCCATCCGTCCGTCCATCCCAGTGGTTCTCAGCACCTAGTTCGTCTATGACAGAGAAATGCTCACTATGTATTGCGGTGGCCTTTGATGCGGTTGTATGCCAGTCAGTCCTCTAGGAAGGAGAAAAGCCTGATTTGTAGCTTTTGCCCATTTCTGCAGTGTGAATACACTTAGCCACGGTTGCTTTCAAGCTAACATCACTGTGTAAGAGGACACAGAATCAAGACACAGTGTCGGCTCTGGAGAGCATGGTGTCCAGCTCTGGTTTATCCCTCCTGCTCTGAGCTGGGCTTCTGTCCTCACTCTCAGGGCTCTTATGGGTCCCCTCTACTTGCTTTGCCTTTTCTCAGCATCATCCTATAGCAGCCCTCATCCTTCCCCTAATTCTGGCTCCTGGTGCAGCCAACTGTGTCCCTTGAGACTGAATGTGCCTAGACATCTCCATGCTGTGGCCACATAGGTGTACCCTGGATACACGAGAGTCTGTGAGAGTCTGGCTATCTTTCCCTAATGGGGCTGGGTGTGTTCGGATGGTGTGTGAGCAAGGGAGTATCCTTGTGTGTCTGGGTGTGCCGCTGCCTGGCTGTGTCTCCTTGTGTTCTGTTAGCAAAACTTCCTGATCAGGCTCTAGAGAGCAGCCGCCTTCTTTGTTTAAAGGAGTAGCCAGACTCACAGGTAAGAGCAGCGGCTCCCATGCTTTGCAGACCGCAGAGCAGTGAGAACACTTGAACAGTGCTTAAACTGTAAGGAGAATCTAAAATACTTTGGGAATCAAATTTAAAAAAGAAAGAGAGCTCTGATTCAGCAGGTCAGTGATGGAGTCTACATTTCCATAAGCTCCTGGATGGCACAGTGATGTCTTTGCTGCTGGATCTGCGGCCACACTATAAGTAACAGAACTATTGATGAGTTGGAGGCATTTGCTTAGAGTTTGAACCCCAGAACCTCACAAATTCAAGCTCAAATACCTCTTGTGTCAAAATATAAATAATCTTGCTTTATAGTAGATAATAAATAACACTGGACCAGTAAATAAGCCTAGAGCAACAAGCTGGCTCATGATGTAAGTCAGTACTTGCCACGCAAGCCTGACAACTTGAGTTGATTCCTGGAACCCACGTAAAGGTGCAAGGGACATGACTCCCAAAAGCTGTCCTCTGACTGCCCGTGTGTACCATAGATGTGTGCCCCTCCATGCTCACCTTCTCCTCTCTCATAAAATAATATCAAACACGTGAACACATAACCTGCCTTGTCTCCCTCCAGGCACTTGCACCTACCCTTCTCAGCCAAGCTTCTCCTTTGCTCAGTTTTACCTGGGTTTATCTGTCTTGGGCCAACAGGATAGGTGTCTGCTAGCCTAAGGACTTCTTTAAGAATCTATCTATCTATCTATCTATCTATCTATCTATCTATCATCTGTCTATCTATCTATCTATCTATCTATCTATCTATCATCTATCTATCTATCTATCATCTGTCTGTCTATCTATCTATCATCTATCTATCATCTATCTATCTATCATCTGTCTATCTATCTATCATCTGTCTATCTATCTATCTATCTATCTATCTATCTATCATCTGTCTGTCTGTCTATCTGCGTGGGTGTTTTACCTGCACGTGCGCCTGGTGCCCACAGACGTCAGAAGAGGCCTGGAGCTCCTGGAACTGGAGTTGCAGGTGGTTGTGAGCCACTGTGTGGGAGCTGGGAACAGAGCCCAGGTCCTCTGCAAGAACAAATGTTCTTAACTGCTGAGCCATCTCTCTAGGTCCTTTGTTCAAGGACTTTTTATCACCGTCTAGCTTTACCCTCTTCTCTTGCTGAGGTTGTCATGGAACCAAATGAGAGTCCTTGGTCAGCCTTTGGGTGACCTTTCTCCTCCCTTCCCTCCCAATCTACTCCTTGCCAGACTCCCACAATAAGGACTCGCTAATGTATACCTCCAACTAAGAGGTTTCTCCCTGCCTCCAGACTACACACCTGATTGCTTGGTTTTTGTTTGTTTGTTTGTTTGTTTGTTTGTTTGTTTTCCCTTGGTTTGGCACTGTGTCTGCACTCTGCCCCTTTCTGCTGTCAGCCTGCCCTGTAGCCCCCGTTCTCTGTCTTCCCTTTTGTCCCCCGGCTTAAGGCAGAAAGTTTTCTCCTAAGACCCACTTAACATGTCTGATCAGCCCTGCTGATTTAAACTATTACCTCTGAATCGTCTCCACTTGTGTCTGAGGTGCTCAGTTCACTAACCTCTGTAGGCCTGGAAACCTGAGGCGACCCAGCTGACTTCCTGTTTCCACATTACTCTCTAGCCATCCACTCTGCTGCACAGCCGGGGACATCAAAGTGCCAATGCAATCATGCTCCACCTCACCCTGCAACTTCCAAACCTTGAAGATTTTCTGTTTCCTTTCACATAAAGCCAAGTCTAAAGGAAGGTCCAGCCCAGCTCTTCTCTCCTGCTGACATCACCTTCACATGCTTACTATGCCTGGCATTCTCAGACTTACTTTCATACTTGTCCGATCAGGCTCACCTGAGTCCCCAGAACATTCACAGATCATAGTTTCCTAAACCATGGCTAGTGGTCCCATGGTGAGGACAACTGACTAAACAGGCAAAATGAAAATTTGGTAAGTTTGCTGAATGTTCAATGACCAAAGATTACTTCAGAATCCAAATGTGAATACATCTGAGTCTCTCTGGCAGTGCTGTCCTGTGTTGCACTGCATGGCCCACAGCAGCCTTTGTTCTGAGCACACGACCTGCCCCCCGCATGCCGGTCCACCACGAGATGCCAATGAAAGCTGACAGAAATACCTCAGATTGGACTTGAGACTGTTCTGTATTAGTTGTGGTGTAGTTTTGTATGTACAGTACTACATGACTCCTTATAGAAACATACTGCCTTAATCATGGAAAACAAAGGCTCTTAACATTCTCCTACTGCCATTTCCTCAGCATAGACATCATGGGATTGTATTGTGTTAGAAAGTTTTTTGGTGAATTTCTTTTGGTTTTGTATTTTAAGGAATACTTGTTTTTATGACTTTTGATTTATTTATTTTTATGTGTGTGGTTGTTTTGCCTGCATGTATGTCTGAGCACCACTTTCATGCCTGGTGCCCCCAGAGGCCAAAAAAGGGCATCAGATTTCCCTGGAACAGTTACAGATGGTTGTGAACTACCGTGTGGTCGCTGGGAATCGAACCCCGAAAGAGTGCTCAATCACTGGGCCCTCTCTCTAGCCATGATGATGTTTGGTTTTAAAGATCACTGTTGGAGTTGCTGAATGGAATTTCATTTTTCAAAAATTAAATGAATTTTGAGTTGAGATTAGAAGAGAATTTCCCTCACTTTCTGAACTAACCCTCCTTCTGTCATTTGACCTAGGACTTTTGTGAAGCAGCGTCCTCAGCTTGACCATTATAAAATCAAACTATTAGTCAGCTCCAGCAAATGTTGGAGATGGGCTACATCCTGTAATATCAAATATTTAGCCAATAGCTATTATATATTTATTTATTGGTTTTCTTGAGACAGGGTATCCCAGACTACCCTTCAACTTGATACGTCACCAGGGTTAATCTTGACTTCCTGATCCTCCTGTCTCCGCCTTCCAAGCGCTGACAGCACGAGCATGAGCCACCATGCCTGGCTAAGATCTAATTTTTTATGTAAAAAAGAAGCAAGCACATTCATCTCATTACTATTCAAATTTTCTTCCATTTTTAATAAGTGGAAAAATACACATATATGTAATATATAACAAGGAATTGTTTTTAAAATAAAGTTCTATAGACTTATTATGAGTAAATGTTTTATTTCTGTGACTATGTTATATAATTGTATACCTGGGATTGCATGAAGTTTTCTTGTATGGAATAGGGTCTCGAGTGAAGCGGGGTCTTGAGGGTAAAGTTTGCGGATCCCTGCTGTAGGGCTGCAGCGCTGGCTCAGCTCTGAAGAGCCCTGGCTACTCTTCCAGAGGACCGGCGTTCCCAGCGCCCATGGGAACCTCACAGCTGCCTGTAACTCCTGATTACAGGAGACTGCCTCCAAGGACACCAGACACACACATGGTATTCAGGCATACATACAGGCAAAACACCCTTACTCATAAAATAATAAAACTATCATCAGCACCTGAAGACGCCGACGAGGGCCCTGGTTCCCGTGAGGCAAAGAGCACTTCCGAGCAAGCCGAGCCTGAGGAGACTGAGATTTAAATGACATGAGGGGATTTGGTCAGACACGGTAACAGAGTAGGAATGGTGGTTTTCAAAATGCGACGACATCTTTGTAGTTTATAGGTGAAACAACGTGGTGTCGGGGGTTAGGGTCAAATTTCCGGATCCGAGTAGAGAAACAGAAGGAGCAGCGCTCTGTGAAAGAGCGAACAACAAGTCTCATTTTGCTTGTTTGTTCTTGTCGGCAGCTACAGAGACGGCGAGGATGCTGACTGTCCCGGAGATGGGCCTGCAAGGGCTGTATATCAGTAAGCCTCTACTGCCCCTCCCTGCCACCTTCCCACTGGCTCCAAACGGAGACCACCCTCCCCTGCCCCCGTTGCCTCGCTCAGCAGCTATAAATTCTCCTGTATATGTATGTGTAGTCGTGTGTGCAGGAATGGCCTGTGTACGGCAAGTATCTGTTCTGAGACCCCTTGTGTGTGAGTACATGTGCAAATGCTCGTCTGTGTGCAAAGGACTTGCATGTGGTTCGTGCAAGTGTGTGCGCGGGACCCTCGGCGGGTGTGCAGGTGGATCCCTGCGCCTGGCAGCTGTGTGGCCTGAGTGGCCTGCAGGAGGGCCTGCGTGCTCTGAATCCTGCACGTCCACTCTGGGCTGAGTGTAGGCTCGGTGCCCGCTGCGGGGTGGGAGGCCAGCGGGGCGACAGGGACACTCCTCAGGAAGTCCATTCACAAAGACCTAGAGGGCTGGGCCCTTCCTTCCTGCCGCTCAAGCCACAGCAACTGCCTCTCACATCAGAGCTGGGAGCAAGGCCTCCATGTACCGCATGCCTGAGGAAGGGGATCTTGAATTGTAGCTTCCCTGACCCCGACCCTCTGGGCCCAGACACACTGCAGTTGTGCCCAGGTATTTCCTCCAGACCCTCACATACATACTTGGGCTATCACTGGCCCACTGTCAAGGCTCACTTGGTCGCACAGCCAATCAGACCAGCTGGCATGGGTCTTCATGCCAGGCCCCACTCTGCTTTTTTGCCAGTCTTCCTAGCCCCATCCGTTGATCTGAGAGTCTCAGTGCCACACACAGCATGACTCTTAGCAGACCTTAGTGTGATAGTGACTTTGGTGCCACTTTTGGGTGTCCGGCTAGGCTGGCCTTCCTGTCCCACAAGTGCCTGATTCAAGCCATAGCTGGGGCCCTCTTGAAGGCTGCCCTGCTCCCAGGCCCTGAAGTCCATCCTGGGCCTGGCCCTTCAGGAAGATCTCAGGGCCCTCCACCCCCCCCCCCCCACCCCCCCCCCCCCGTGCTAACTGGAGTGTGTACGTCTGTGATAGGACAGGTGCTGTGGACATCCCCAGACACAGAGCTGGGCTGGGGGTAGGTGCCACCTTCCCCTTCTGGTTCTGACTGTGTGTTTTGGAGTGAGGAAACCCCCTCAAGTCCTGATTAGAAGCATGTGGCCCAACTTAAGTGTGTGTGACGTATGAAAGTCACTGTCAAGGGAGATGAATCTGACTGATCCAGGCAGGTGCTTAGACCCTAATGTCATGCATGTCCTTCCTATCCCCCCCCAGTCTCCCTTCCCCAGCAAATGGTTCTTTGCCTCGGCCAGGCTCAGGGAGAACAGATAGAACCCTTACGCCAGGCTTGGGCTCCTGATTTCCAGATTGTTCCAGTGTGACCTGGCCTTTCTCCTCCACAGGCTCTAGCCCAGAGAGATCCCCAGTGCCCAGCCCACCCGGCTCCCCAAGGACACAGGAAAGCTGCGGCATCGCCCCCCTCACACCCTCACAGTCTCCAGTAAGCCCTGGTTGGGGATTGGGGTGTTATGGAGGAGGGCGGTGCCTGGCAGAGCTGTGGCAGGGACTGGACTGGAGCAAAGCAATGAGGCATGCTACAGGCCTCCTGCCCTGTACACTAGTCGTGTGCCCCCATGGCCTTAAGCTGTAGGCGTGACAGTTCTGGAAACCAGCTCTAGGTAACATGCCCACCACCCTCTGTAGCAGCATGACTCCCAGGAGCCACTGTGGTTCACCTGCACAGGCAGGCGTGTGACTTTTCTAGGTCTTCAGATCGCTGCTTCTGGCAACCTACGTTAGAGGCCGAACGTACTCTAAATAACATCTCAGGGAGAAGTTTAGTGTTAAAATATTAGTGTTAAAAATATTTAGAAGCTGAACAGTTGAAGTTTCCAAGACAAGCCTCTCTCTCCACAGCTCTTCTTGGGTTACCTACCCTGTATGGCTTTGTGTTGGCCATCTAGCTTGGGGTCTCTCTTGCTCCCAGGGAGTCCAGGCACAGCCTGGGGAAATTAGGGACATCTCCGCATGTGTGCGGGGTCCTTCTATCTTCTACAAAACCAGAGTCTGGTTTGTGTTCCAAAATCAAGGGGCCAAATACACACATCCGCGTGTTAGAAAGCAGCCCCGAAAAGCAAAATTGCCCCCAGCTAGGGCAAGGCTAGTAGCAGGCTGTGAAAATGGTGTGAGATGGAGGTTGGCTGAGGGAATCTGGGCAAATGTCAGGTGAACTGGAAGCTAAACAGCAGTTATCCCAACCCCATGGCTAGGCCCTGGCTCCCTGGGAGGCCTTGGAGTGTCCAAGCAGGTGGCACAGCCAGGTCTCAGCCTGAAAGTGGGGTGTGAAAGCAGGAAGGGAGCCAGTGAGGCTGGGGCAAAGCTGCTTTGGGCCACAGGCAGTGAAGGGGAGGAGTTCCTATTAATACTGACTTTTGTCTTGGACTTGCAGAAGCCAGAGGCCCGAGTTCCACAGCAGGCTTCCTTCTCTGTGGTTGTAGCCATCGACTTTGGGACCACGTCCAGTGGCTATGCCTTCAGCTTTGCTAGTGACCCTGAGGCCATCCACATGATGAGGTGAGGGCAGCTGAACTAGAAGACTGTGCGGGGGAGGTACCTCAAACTCTGGTTTAGGCCTGATCTTAGAAGTAACCACGGGACAGGGTCTTATCAGAGCCCCTGGCATCTCCAGGACTCTTCACTGGGACAGAGGGCTAGAGAATGACCATGGGGTCTGAGCTTCAGCCTTATTTGGAGTGTTCCCACCCACCTCAGGGATATTGGGCTTCATGTATTTGCTTATCAGTTTTTATTTGCAGTGCTGGACATCAAACCCAGGGCCACAAGCATGCTACACAAGTATTCTTGAGCTATGTCCCCAACCCAGGCCTTATTTTGGGGGTGTATGGTTTAATACTTTTTAATATACGTATGTATGTATGTGCAGTATGTATTTGTCACATGTTTGTGCATAATAAGGCCAGAGGCTGACTCACCAATTGACTAGACTAGCTGGCCATGGAGCTCTGGAGACCCACTCACCCCACTCCCCACCCCCTCCCAGTGACCAAGCCCAGCTGAGGCTCTAAAAATAATAGAAAGGAAGGGAAAAAAGAGAGGAAAGAAGGGAGGGAGAAAGAGAGGGATGAAGGAGGTAGGAGGAATCATAAAAGGCCCTGAAGTAATTTGGCCTTGGAAAACCACCTTGAAGAGTGCGCAGTGACTGGCCCAGCAATGGCTTCTGCTCGGGTCCCAGGGAAACACATTAGGAGGCCAGACACAGGCCACTGAACAATAGGGTTGTTGCTCCTTATAATACAGAGGAGAGGTCAAGTAGGGCACCCTGCCCAGAGGTCTCTCAGGGCCCCTTGGCTAGAGAGGATCCCAGGGGGTCATTTATGGAGGGATTAAACTGGCACCATTTGATTTTCATGAAAACCTAAGAGGTAGGAGCCATTATTCCTCTGGGGGAGGACTTTTGCGAGATGGCCTCACTCTGTAGACCAGGCTGGCAATCACCTCACCTCAGCCTCTGGAATGCTAGGATTGCCGTCACCACTCCCACTGCCATTATTTTCATTTCACAGATGGAAAAAACACACACATACAACGGAAACACAGGGAAGTTGTGTCCTGTTCTTGGTCACACAACTGGCCCCAGGGCCAGTGTCCAACTGTAGGAAGGTTGCCTCTGGCTCCCCTGACTACCTTTGTCCTCACAGGAGGTGGGAGGGAGGAGACCCAGGCGTGGCCCACCAGAAGACCCCCACTTGCCTGCTGCTGACCCCAGAGGGCATCTTTCACAGTTTCGGCTACACTGCACGTGACTACTACCACGACCTAGACCCTGAGGAGGCTCGGGACTGGCTCTACTTTGAGAAGTTCAAGATGAAGATCCACAGTGCCACTGTGAGCCAGTGTGGCCAGGCTCCTGCTGGGGAGGTGGCGCTGAGAAGGCGGTATTAGCGGAGAGCAGGGCATAGCTAAGAGGCCAAAAGAATGGCCTAATTAGGGGGCACAAGGTGGGATAATGGGCAGAACGGAAGGTGGGCGAGACTCATGTGAGGATGGGCTAGAGGACGAGTGACAGAACTAGAGAACGGCTGTAGCTGGGGGCGGAGCTAACGTGAAACTGACAGGAGAGGATGAGAAGCAATGGGATCCTGGGTGATTATAATGAGGAAGTCATCAGGAAATGGGGCCGAGCTATGGCCTCCTGCAAAATGGCCCTGTGTCTCTGCCAGGATCTTACCTTGAAGACCCAGCTGGAGGCGGTAAATGGCAAGAAGATGCTGGCTCTGGAGGTGTTTGCCCATGCCCTCCGCTTCTTCAAGGAGCACGCCCTTCAGGTGTGCTGCTCTTCCCAATCCACTGATGGGGCAGGGCCCTTCCATTCCCTTCCTCTCCCCTCACCCACCCCGTGTCTGGATAATGAGTGATCACCACCAGGACGTCTCCAGTTCCCTGTCCTGTTTGTTGGAGCTTGGACTTGGGCCAGCCAGGTGAAGGTCAGACTTCTCACTCTTAGCAACAGGTCTTCCGAAGTTGGAAAGCCCTCACTGTCGCTTGATTAGTCCGTCCAGCTCCCAGAGAAAGCTGGAAATGCCTCAGGCCTGCTGATCATACTGCCCTCCCCTGCCACAGGAGCTGAGAGAACAGAGCCAGTGTATGCTTGAGAACACCGTGCGCTGGGTGCTGACAGTGCCTGCCATCTGGAAACAGCCGGCTAAGCAGTTCATGAGGGAGGCCGCCTACCTGGTGAGGAGGCGCAGGTGGAAAGGTGCACCCCCACGCCCTGCTCCCTTCCCCCAAAGATGGCCCTGGACGTAGCCCACACCTCACCCACCCTTCAACCCTGAGGACCACAAATGGAGCGCTGTCGTCCCTGGAGAGGGGGGTGGTCTTCAAGAACAAGAGGCCTATGCCGTTATAGGTAGTGCCCTGTCACGTTCGTGACACGCAGGGCCCAAGAGAGGGAGTGCTGTGTACGCAGTCTGTTGGAGACAGACCCCCAGGACAGCAGATGGAGGAATCAGGGCTGGGCTCTGAGGAGGGCTGTGACCCTGCTGGAGTCTACTTTCAGCCCTGTTCTATGAGAAGGCCCAGAGGGACGGTGTGGCACTGAATTGGCCACCGTGAGCAAGGGTCCATGGCTGCCTGCCATTGCTGGCTGGTCGGGTGGAAGGGGCACTCGTCCATGTGAGGTGACAAAAGAGGTCTGAGGCAGTTGCTGTGCACCAGCAGCAGCAGACAGGGACCAGGGACAACCCCTGTGGCCCTCAGCAGTACTTTCGCACTCCACCACGCCTGCTCCAGGCGCTGTGAGCTTTTCCCAGGGAAAAAGGATGATTTCGCTACAAGGAAAGGTGATTCTGGCCAAAGTGTGCTGTCTCCCTACCACAGAGAATTCGGGTTCAGGCCAGAGAGGTGTCATGGAGCTAAGTCGGGTTTCTTGGCTCTACCTCTAGGCCCTGAAGAACAGGCCCTAGGACAGCCAAAAAGTTATCTCAAGCCTGCCTTGGCCTCCTTGGAGATACCAGCATGCCTATAGCTGTGAGCCAGATGACAGGACTATGTTCCTGTCTGACTGGGTTCCTATGTTCGTCCCTAGAAGGGGGGCGACCTCGAACACAGAGTGCCTTTCTGTAGAGTCCAGGTGTCCCGGGGCAGAACAAAACGCCTGCCCATTTACTTGCTTTCTCCCACATTGCTCCCTGATGCAAGCTCAGAAAGGGCTGGCCCTGGACTGGAAGCCTCCATTCCTACCTATCTCCCTCTTCCTAACCTGGTCAGAATGCATGGAATTTCATGAAGTCTAAACTCTCTGGAGAGGGCCTTTGTCCTGCTGCAGGAAATGACAGCTCTTGAGCGTTTCCCCTCTACCCCAGTGGCCTGGAATTTCACTATTTCCTTCCTGCTATAGCAGATTCTCTGGGAACAGAGTTCTCCCGGGAGTGGGGCCACCTATGGCCAGTATCTGACACCAGCCTGGTGAGCCCAGCAGTGCCCCACACCCATCCCCTCCAATCCACCTCACCCACCCCACTGGGCTACAACTCCCCAAGAGCACCACAGCCAGCTCTGAACCTGGGGATGGGAAACTTGCTTCAGCCACACCATCTTTCTGCTGAGTAACCCCATGGCTCCCTGGCCCCGGCCCCTCCCTAGCCCGACCTCATGGTGGCTGTGAGGCAGCTTCAACTGTGTGCAGCATGAAGGCCTAGCTTGGGTGGTGTGTGACGGGAGGAGGTGGGCGCTCCCAGGCCCCGGAGTGCCATCTTAAATGACAGCCTCTGGTGCTGTCTGGTGCCGCCCACCACCTATCCCCAGGCTGGCCTAGTGTCTCGAGAGGATGCAGAAAAACTACTCATTGCCCTGGAGCCCGAGGCTGCCTCTGTCTACTGTAGAAAACTTCGCCTGCACCAGCTCATGGACCTGAGTAGCCGGACTGCAGGTGGTGGGCGCCTGGGTGAGCGCCGGTCCATTGACTCCAGCTTTCGACATGGTGAGCTGCCCCAGGGTGGCTGCCTGGTGCTGGGTTTGGTGGCAAGTGCTCTTGGAAGGTCAGAGAGTCAAGGGAACTGGAGGACCCGATGGTCTGTCTAGGACAATCCTGAGGGAACCCGATCCGAGGCAGGAATATCCCTGGTGAGTTCATCATGAGGGTACACAGACTGGCTCCAGGACCCCAGGTTGAAGACAGTCTCACCTTGGCCAGGGAAGCAGAGGATCAGGGAGACACAAACGGCCATGGGGCTCAGTGCTCAGTGGACACTAGCCAGGGGGCAAGAGGTTTTTCTTTAAACAGTCACTCTATCAGCCCGGCCCCGCCCTGCCCTCAGCAGCCAAATCTCTTGCAGCCAGACCCAGGCACTGAGGCCAAGGACCAGTGTAGTCAGTTTTGGTCATCCTCCTAAATGTGATCTCCCTGACAGGGAGAGGCTCCACATACTGAGCTTCCCTGGGACACCTGAAGATATCTCCCACCCAGATTTTTCAAGGCCTCTTGGGCCAGATAGTAGTACCAAGGCCTTCTCCCTCTGGGTCAAGAGAAAGTCCAGTGTTCAAAAGTGCTTCTAGCTGCCCCTGATGACTGGGGTCTGGAATCAGCATCGTCGCAGAGCTCTGGGCCGCGTTGGTGAGGAGCAAGGTTGAGCGTGGCATCCCCTCACCTCGCTTTCCCGCTGTGCTTCACGGCAGCCCGGGAGCAGCTGCGCAGGTCTCGCCACAGCCGAACGTTCCTGGTGGAGTCTGGCGTGGGGGAACTGTGGGCAGAGATGCAAGAAGGTGAGGCAACAGGGTATGAAGGGACAGCCCAGACCATCAGGGAACCCGCAGGAATGGGGGAGGTCGCATCTCTTCCCCCAGTCACCTGCACCTCCTCCTGCTCACAGCTGCACCCCTAACATTCCTTCAGGAGGCTCTGTTCCACGTTCGGGCTTCAAACCTCGCCCCTTCCACTCCCTGCATCCTTCTGAAGCCTTCACTTCCCTCTCCCTTTCCACACTGTCCCCCTAGGCTGGACTTGGTGCCTGGTGCAGGGTTGGAGCCCGGGGGTTGGGGTTGGGGTTGGGGTTGGGGATGGGTACTGCAAGACTGAAGGTAGGAGGCAGGTCCTTAACGTTTGGGGCTTTTTTTAAAAATTAATCTTTTATTTACTTTACATCCCAACTGCAGCTTCCCCTCCCTGCTCTCCTCCCAGTCCCCCCGCCCACCTCTATCTCCCCTGCCACTCCAATGTCCCAGTCCCCATTCGTCCCTCCCCCCCCCTTGCCCCCCCCCCAACCCCTGCTGTCCCATCCACTCCTCTTTCTCTTCAGAAAAGGAGAGTCCTCCCATGGATATCAGCCAGCCTTGGCAGTAAGACTAGGCACCATGTTCTCTTGCTGAGACTAGCCAAGGCAGCTCAGAAGACGGAAAGGGTCCCAAAGGCAGGCAACCGAGTCAGAGACAGCCCCTGCTCCCACTGGGAGGGCACCCACATGAAGACCAAGCCACACTCTTCCCTGTGTGTAGAGGGCCTCGGTCCGTCCCGTATGAGCCCCCTGGTTGGCGGTTCAGTTTCTGTGAGCCACTATGGGTCTGGGCTCCTTGGTTCTGTCACACCCTTAATGTTGGCTTGTAACCGACCTGTGCAGGAGACCGCTACATGGTGGCAGACTGCGGGGGTGGCACTGTGGACCTGACCGTGCACCAGCTGGAGCAGCCTCATGGCACCCTAAAGGAGCTCTACAAGGCTTCTGGCAAGTAAACCCACGAGAACGCTTGCCACCCAGCTCGCTCGGGGCCTTCCACCGTCCCCTGGTGGCCGGTCTGGCAATGACACCCTCTCGATCTCTCCTGCTGCAGGCGGCCCTTACGGTGCGGTAGGGGTGGACTTGGCCTTTGAGCAGCTGCTCTGCCGAATATTCGGGGAGGACTTCATCGCCAAATTCAAAAGGCAGCGGCCGGCAGCTTGGGTGGATCTGACCATTGCCTTCGAGGCCCGCAAACGCACAGCAGCCCCGCACCGTGCCGGGGCGCTCAACATCTCGCTTCCCTTCTCTTTCATTGACTTCTACCGCAAACAGCGAGGCCACAGTGTGGAGACAGCCCTGCGCAGGAGCAGGTGTGCGCAGGCTCAGGGCGCAGGCAGCATTTGCTAATGTGGCCTGCCCTTGCAAGGGGGAGTCGTGGGCCCCAGGGCCTAGAGAGTGGCTGGTTAGTTCCACACACATACACCATGCCAGCCAGGAGGTGGCAGCGACAGGTGGAGGAGCGTGACCACCGGGTGGCTGGGCAGGGCCACCAGCAGTCAGGAACTGACACCCCAAACTGGACACTAAGGGTGTCCTAAGGGACAGAGGGTGCAAACTTTATCGTCTCCCACCCTCCCCCATTACTCAATGTTCTTGGCTCCTCTATGCTGTCATAAGGGTAAGCTCCTCTGCCACCTCACACATGAGCCAAGCAGACAGCAAAGTGGGCTGAGGGAGAAGACAAAGGCAAGCGGCCACTCTTTATACACTACGTGAGCAATCACATCTGTGTTTCCTGTTGGGCAGCCCCAACAGATTCCCTGGGGGTATGGGTAGGGAGGGCCCCTGACTAGACGCTGCAGCAAGCAGCTGGGCTAACCGTGGGCCTGTGGCCCCTCACCACCTACAGCGTGAACTTTGTGAAGTGGTCCTCCCAGGGGATGCTCCGGATGTCCTGTGAAGCTATGAATGAGCTGTTTCAGCCCACGGTCAGCGGGATCATCCAACACATAGGTGAGTGCATGGTGCCCCATTCACAGCCAGATTCACTCCTCTCCTCTGTCCGCACCCAGGATGGAACCCAGCTCATCTGGAGCCAGCACACACGGTGATAGTCCGGCCTGGGGCCTCCATTTCCCCATTTTGTAAAGGGGATTAAATGAGCTGCTAGTGTGTGGAGTGAGCACCCTGTCCTGAACAGTGTAAATCATTCCTGCAGCAAAGGAGCAGGGAGTCGGTGAAAGGGCTACTTAATGCCTGGTGACGCTTTAGGAGTGCTGGTGGGGCCGTTCATGGCGGCACAGGACTTTAACACCAGCTCTCGGCAGGCAGATCAGTGTGAGTTCTAGGAAAGCCAGGGCTCTGTTACACAGAGAAACCCGGTCTAAAAAAAAATAATAATAAACAAAAGTACTGGTGGCGGCAGCAGAAGTGTCACTTAGAGAGTGAAATGGTGGCCCTTAGTGACTGTCCCTCTCCCTGTCTTCCCAAACCTGTCCCTGCTCTGCAGAGATGCTGCTCGCCAAGCCTGAGGTGCAGGGTGTGAAGTTGCTCTTCCTGGTGGGAGGCTTTGCGGAGTCCGCGGTGCTGCAGCACGCGGTGCAGGCAGCGCTGGGCTCCCGGGGCCTGCGCGTCGTGGTCCCTCACGACGTGGGCCTCACCATCCTCAAAGGAGCAGTGCTCTTTGGCCAGGCACCGGGCGTGGTGCGGGTGCGCCGCTCCCCTCTCACGTACGGCGTGGGCGTGCTCAACCGTTTTGTGCCCGGCCACCACCCTCCGGAGAAATTGCTGGTTCGCGATGGGCGCCGCTGGTGCACAGATGTCTTTGAGCGCTTCGTAGCCGCAGAGCAGTCGGTGGCCCTGGGAGAGGAGGTGCGGCGCAGCTACTGCCCTGCCCGGCCCGGCCAGCGGCGTGTGCTCATCAATCTGTACTGCTGCGCTGCCGAGGACGCGCGCTTCATCACTGACCCCGGTGTTCGCAAGTGTGGGGCCCTCAGCCTGGAGCTCGAGCCTGAAGGCTGCGCGGAAAACGCAGGCACGTCCCCCAGCCGCCGCGAGATCCGTGCTGCCATGCAGTTCGGAGATACCGAGATCAAGGTCACTGCTGTGGATGTCAGCACCAATCGCTCTGTGCGGGCAGCCATCGACTTTCTTTCCAACTGAGGACGCACCTCTCGGCGGGGACGCAGAACATGCTCGTTTTCACAGCAGAGCCCCTTTCTCCCTACCCTGAGGGAAATGTGGCGAGGACGCATGGAGACTCGCTTTGGGGTTGTGCCTTGGTCTGCTGAGCGGAACACTGAAAGGTTCCCTTACCCCAAGAGGCGAGGTGCTATAAGAAGTTTGCTAAGTGAGCCTGGCTTGTGTGTGACCGTGAAGATAGACTGCAACAGAGGACTAAACACTGGCCTGAACTTCAGCATTGAGGGGAAGGGTCAGCAGAGCTGCGGAGCCGCGGGAGGTGCAGAACCTGGGCCTGAATGTTTAAGTTCATGAACTGCTGAGCTCAAGCCACAGCAAGTCAGAGATCAATCTCATGCAGGGTTGGGGTTTGAGCCCATGCTAGAGAGACAGATGTGATAGAGCCTTCCTAGATGTGTGACTGTTAATGGCAGAGCAGCGGCTGACAGGTGAGGAGGGTACATTGTCACAGAAGGCAATTTGGAGGAGAGGTAGACAAAAGACCCACAGGAAGGCTATAAATGGCATTTGCCCCCAACCCAGCCACAGGACAGAGTTCACTGAAGTGAAGGGTAGGGGTGTCACAGCTCTGCCACATATCAGTATAGTATACCATTAGGAAATCTGATAAACCATGGGCCTCAGTTTCTCCTAGTGTGAAGCAGTCAAGGCACTTCCCACCAACCATGGCACAGGACAGCTTTCCCTGAGAACTTCCTAAGGTGAAAATAAAGCATGTGAGGTGAAGAATAGAACAGCCAGAGCGGGGACCCCGGAAGTGGGAACAGTATATGAGGCACAAGTACTAGAGAGAAGGGAAGCAGTTTTCAGCCGCACAGATGAAAGGGACTTGGAGCCCCTGAAGAGTGCTCAATGTCCTAGGCACCTCCCACAGTCCCCAGCAGTCCCAGGCCTAAAAGGCATCCGTGCCCTTAGGGCGCGGGTGCTGCAGCACCACGCAGTTCCCCTTCCTCCCGATTGAGTTGGCCCATCTACGAAGGATAAGGTGGTCCACCAAACCCAGAGAACACAAAGCCCCCACTGACCTCTGATTATCTACTGGAATTTTTATTTATTGAGGTCTCTATCCCAACCAGTCATTTAAAAACCAAGTACCACAGAGCTGAGGGGTAAGAGCTAGGAACCGTACCTCCTCACCACATCACCAGCAGTGGGGAAGGAAGATGGAGGGCAGCAGAGATGGAGAAGGTGAGAGACAATAGCAGCAGCAATGGGGCATCAGTGTCACAGAAACAGAGCCACTCTGTCCTCTCCCAATTCCTAGCTAGAGCCCCTATGGCTTGGGGTGGAAGAGGTAAATCCCACCCCAGGTCCCTCCTCTCAGATAGCCTCCTTGGGGCTCGACCCATTTCTTCAGTCAGGAGACTCAGGCACATGGGAGAGGAGGAGGTGGGAGAGGAGACTGGGAGAGGCAGGGTGGTGGCAGGAACAAAGGCAAAAGTAGGCACGAGCAAGGTGTAGCCCTGCCGTGCCCACCCGGGAGAGGTGAGGAAGCCACACCATCACGCAGCATGTCGGGGAGCAGGTGGGGTTTAAGGCTCAGGCAGGCAGGCAGGCAGGCCCCAGGCCTCAGTCGAAGCCGTGCCAGTCGCTGTGTTCCGAGTCGTACTCCAGCTCGGCGCCCACGCACTTGACACCGTCCAGCAGCATGGGTGTACCGTGGTGCCGGTCTGCAAGGCAGCACCAGAAGTTAGTGTCCTGGCACCAAACAAAGTTTATTACACAGGACTTCTCCCTGGCATTAGCTGGGGATTTAGGGGAAGACCCCGCCAGCTTCAAGAATCTCTTGAAGCCGGTCTCATGTCCCCCTCCTCCAGCCAGACCTGCCCTACTCTCACTCACCCATGACCCGCGCCTGCACCATCACACGCACACAGGTGCCTGTGTCACCCTCGCAGGCCAACAGCATCTCCTCTTTGAGGACGCCTTCTCTGTGTGCTGAGTACTCACACTTGATGCTGTAACCTGCTGGAGGACAGGGATGGAGAGGCAATCAGTACCTCCTCTAGACTGTCCCCAGCACTCACAGTTCCCTACCCAGGCACTCTGGCTGAGCCTCTTCCAGAAAGAAGCCCAGATGGTCCCTCCAGAGCCCCCACAAAGCTGGTACAGGACTTACAAAACTTCCCATCCTTTCAAATAAGATCAGTGTACCTCTGGCCTGAGGACCTAGCATGGCTCTAAGGATAGAAGACAGGGTCCAATTCATCCTTCTAAGAAATGGTGCCACACAGGAAAGCAGGAAGAAGGTGATGGAGATCAAGAAGAGGCTGGCAGAGTGGGCTTTGAGCAGATGGATGGTAAGATGAAAGGGCTTTCTCTGTTCTTTGAAGGGCAAGCACTTAGGAAGTAGTAGTGGAGACATGGAATTGAAGGTGAGGTCAGCAGTGTACCCTGAAACTATCACTGTAGTCTCTGCCAGGCTGGGAACGAGGAGTGGGACAGGACCAGAAGCCAGGTGGAGAAGCAGCCTAGAACCCAAGACCTAGAACTTGTGGGTTCTGGGCAGTAGCCACTCAAAAGCTCCTACAGCTCCTGAGAGAGAAGGCTGGAGGCCCAAAGATGGTTCCTCAGCGCTCCCATCTCTGGGACCTCTCCATTGAGAGTGCCATTAGGTGAGAAGGTGCAAACCTGAAGTCCAAAAAAATGGAGGCCTAGGGGCTAAAACTGCCATATTCCCACACAGGAAGCTCAAGGAGGTGCCATGCCCCTCCCTTTGGCTGAGCTGCCTTTTCACCCTACTAGGGAAAGGTCACTCCCACTAACAGCAGGCCCTTATGGGTATGGGTAGGCCTTTAGCAGCCCAGTAAGGGACCTACCTTCAGGGATGGGTGTGACGCTGAGAAGCTTGAGATGCAAGCTATGGACAGGGGCCTCCCGGACATCCTTGCTCAGCCTGCGCACTGGAGGCAGAGTGAAGGTAATCTCATACCTGTGCTGGATCTTCAGGAAGCCAGCCTGCAGCACAAGGGGGGAAGAGAGGCATTGTCACCGCTGCTTCTCCTAGGGCATCAAGGTACACTGCCCATGCTCCTGGCGGGCCCCGGCATCTGCTTTCCTGGGATTCCAATTCTTTCGTTATCCTAGCCGTGTGGCACAGGCCTTCTAACAATTCCCTTAAGGCCAGCACCATCCCATGCATCTGTCTTAGAGGCCCCTCAGGCCTCAGTGGTCAGTTTTATAGATAAGGATATACAAGTCAGTAAGTTACTGCCTAGAGGTCACATGGCCAACTATAGCCCTCTTGGTCACTCCTGTCCTATGTGGTACACAGTAAGAAACCAGCCATTGGCAGGGAGGGGCAGCCTGATGCACAGCACCTGTCCAGATCGAGCAGCCCACTCAGGGACACTGGTGTTTTGACAGCATGGGATGGGAGAGAGAAAGAACTGGAGAAATGGACATTAGGGTTTGGGGAATGGCTCAGTGGTACACTATGTACTCAGCATTTGTGAAACCCTGGTTGTGATCCCAAGAACCAAGCAAAACCCCACAGTAAACGAGCTGTGGGAGTCCACAGCAGGCCACAAGCTGAATATTGACCACTGACCCTGTGATCCTGTCTTTTGACACATGGTAATGGATGCCTGCCTACCTGCATACTTAAAGCTGCCAAGTGACCGGTGACCTCTGCTCATGGCCCAAGCAATTTCTGTTGTCCAGACATACTGCCAGGCAAACCAGTGCTGTCCCTCTGGGACAGATGCCTTGGGAACTTTTTGGTGTGAAGGGTCACAAGCTGAAATGCTGCTGTGAAGAGTGGTGTTTTGAAAGCTCTCTGAGCATGGCAGCTCACACCTTGGCAGTAAGAAGGCCAAGGCAGTAGGACTGCCACAAGTTTAAGAGCAGTCTGAGCTATACACTGAGTTTAGGCCAACCTGGCTACGCTCTCAAAACAAAGAGCTAGGGATACAGCGCAGTTGGTAGAGTGCCTGTCTAGCATGCATGGCCCTGGGCTTGATCCCAAGCACCAAATCAAATTGGGCATGTGGGGCATACCTGCAATCCCAGCACTTTGGAGGCAGGGGCAGAGGATCAGAAGTCCAAGGTCATCCTTGGCTACACAGCCAGTTCAAGGATAGCTTGGAGTACATGAGACCCTGTCTCAAAAAACAAAACAAAAAAACACATTTTTTAAAATTTTTTCATTTATTTATTGGGGATGAGGGTGTGGACTTGGCACATGCTATAGTACTGTGGCAGTCAGAAGACAATTTGAAAGAGTTGGCTTTATCCTTCCACCAAGTAGGTTCTGGGGACAACACTTAGGTAGTCAGGCTGGGAATGTACCTTTATTACCCACTAAGACATGTCAACGGCTCTCAAAATTTTTTCAGGGCTAATGAGCTGGCACAGTAGATAAAAGGGTGCTCACCACTGACCTGACAACCTGAATCTGGTCCCCAGAACCCACACAGTGGAAGGAGAACTGACTCTTGCAAGTTGCCCTCTGACTTCCATATGTATGCTATGGCACACCTCACTGCAAAATAAATAAACTTAGAAAGGCCGGGCAGTGGTGGTGCATGCCTTTCATCCCAGCACTTGGGAGGCAGGGGCAGGCAGATCTCTGAATCAAGGCCAGCCTGAACAACAGAGCAAGTTACAGGACAGCCAGGGCTACAGAGAGAAACCCTGTCTCAAAATAAGTAAGTATAATAATTAAGTAAATAAAGAAATAATGTGAAAAGTTTACTTTAATAAAAAGGCTTTCCAGGGGCTGCTAAGATGACTTGATGGATAAGGGAACTTGCCATACAGATTGTGGACCCGGGTTCAGTACAATGTGAAGGGGCAAGTGGAGAAGTGACTCCACAAAGTTGTTCCCTGACCTCCACATGCATGCTGTGATACATGCAGTATGGTGCACACACAGTAATAATGGTACAAGAAATTTTAAAGACCTTCTGGCCATACTTGTGTACTATGACCTGGGGCCCAGCTGTGACAACTGCAGAACTTACCAGGAAAATATTCAGAGACTAAAAGCAGCCATGACATATGCCAAATACCAGATGGAGGTGAAATCTCATTGGAAATTATTTCCTAGCAGGCAGACAACAGTTTGCAAACAGAAGCAAGCAACAAACACCATGTTAGCCGGATGTGGTGCTGCATGCCTTTAATCCCAGCACTTGGAAGGCAGAGTTAGATAGATTTCTCTGAGTTTCAGGCCAGCCTGGATATACAAAGGGTTCCGGAGCAGCCAGGGCTACACAGAAAAACCCTGCCTCAAAAAAACAAAAAAACACAACAACAACAAATACTAGCTTTTGGATACAAAGCTTTGAAAAATACACTAAAATATTCACCAAGGTCACTTCTGGGTGGTGTGCCTGTGACTTGGCCACGTTTAACCTTCCTGTCAGATTTGTTTAGTGCCTTTATTTTGTTTATTTCCCTGGGAACCATCATTTTCAGAGACAGGATGAAGACTTTAGAGTTGGACAGAAATGAAAACAAACCTGCGACCCCTCTGAGAAGGGCAGCAAGCCCATGGGGCTGGTCTCCACAGACCAGTACTCTCACCAGAGAGTACTCCTACTCAACTCTGAGGCCCTGTCTTATTAACCAATCTGAAGGCCTCAATACCTATCCCCCCTCCCCCAAACACAGCCCCTCCAAAAAAGTCCTTCCTGTCCCTTCCAAGTGGGTATGGAACCTAACAGTACCTGAGCAGTTGAAGGAACCATGCTTCTGAGTGTGTGATAAAAGCGTCCCACTAAGTAGATTCAGGGCAAGGCTGACACAGCTTGGTAATAGTATATTTACCAGGCTCATGGCCCTTGGTTCATTTCAGATAATTAATACAAATACAAAGAGCCAAACCTGGCAAAAAGTAAAAACTAACACCTCATCATCACCATAATTAGTGACATCACATCCACAATTCCTTTCATTCTCACACCAACTTTGTAGGCTGGGAATAGCCAGCTGGGAAGATGGCTCAGCAAGCAGAGGCTTGCAGCCAAGCCTGATGACCAGAGTTTGATCCTTGGAAACTGCAAAGTGGAGGAGAGACCAGCCTCATGCAAGTTGTCCTCTGACCTCCATATGTGGCTGTGGCATGCATGCTCCAACAAAACAAAGACGTGTAAGAAACAGAGTGAGACAAAAAGAGGGAGGAGATAAATGGCCGCAAAGCCAAGACAGCATGCCTGATCCAGGCTCAGACAGCACAGCCTCCAACCAGCCTTCTATGGCCTTGTCTATGGCCTTGTAGACTAGGCCACTGACGGCAGCCTTGAGTCAAATAACACTTGTTTAAATTACTTAGTGATTTCCTTACCTCCCATTCTACAGATGGAGAAAGGCTCAGGGAGAGGCAAGGATGTGCCTGTGACCCCAGCTGTTAGATGACTAGGACAGCTTCTAGAAGCCAGGGAAGGAAGGAGTGAAGGTGGTGATAGGGAGGCGTTCACATACCTTGACTAGAAAGCTGTTGTCACTCTCCTGAGTAACCATGACCACAGAGTCATGTAGCTTTTCATCAAAGTGGACATGGCTCTGGGAGCCTTCTGCGTCATGGCCTGCTGCAAAGCGGATACTTCGGACTCTGGGCTTATTGCCTAGGAAAAGAAGAAGAAGGCTCCAGAGGCTGCCGGATTCCTTCAGCATCAGGAAGCCACTCCTTGTTTCCTCCCCACGCCCAGTCTGCTCTTGACATTACCCAGCACACACTGACCAGGCTCCTTTCAGGTAGATACTGTTACTCTTGAGGCTTGAGCACCCCCATATACACATCCACCTGTGTAGTTTCCTCGCAAAAGCGTACTCCCCACCATACAGTAAGAAAGATTCAGGGACTAGCTGATGGACCCCTCACTTGAAGGGGAAGAGGCTGACACATTCCCTACCATCATGCCATGCAGAGTTGGACCCTCCACAATGCCAAGCTCTACCTGGCATCTATCGTTTTTTTTTAAATATTTTCATTTGTGTGGATGTGTGAGAGAGAGAAAGTGTCTGTCTGATTTATATGTACAATGTGTCAAGCAAGAAGGCATTGGATTTGCTAGACAGAGTGGCACATACTTTTAATCCCAGTACTTGGGAGACAGAGGCAGGTGAATCTCTGTTAAGTTCAAGACCAGCTGGCACCACATAGTAAAACCCTGTCTCAGAAAATAATAATAATAATAATAATAATAATAATAATAATAATAATAATAATAATAATAATAAATTAAAAACAAAAAAACAGCAACAACAAAAGCAACAGATACACTGGAACTGGATTTATAGGTGGCTCTGAGCTGCCTGATGTGGATGCTGGAAATTCAACCCAAGTCCTCTGCAAGAGGACTACTGAGCCATCTCCTCAGCCCCATGACACCTTCCCTTCCAGGTCTGTCAGTACATAAGACAAGCCCAGCCTGTGACTCCTGATAACTCCAACCAACCTGGAGCACAGTGATAAGAATGGACTCTAGGGAGTCTACTTGCAATAGGAGAAATAGGTGTTAAAAACCAGACTTTTGAGAAGGAAAAAAAAAAAAAAAAAAGAACAGAAACAAAATCCCCCTGGCTATGTAAAAGAGGTTTTAGCTGGCACTCAAGATCAATGGTCACTAGTAGTTAAGAAGCTGAGAAGCGTACCAGTCCACCCCCTCACTGTTTCCTCCTTTACTAGTTTTGATGAGGGTCTTTGAAGATTATTAGCTACTACTGTGGTGTGCTGGAAGTTCTAAGGCCAGAAAGAGCAGGGATTAAGACATACTGAGTGGCTGGGAGAGAGCCAAGAGCCTGGACAATCAGCCTATGGGAAACCAAGGGCATAATCCCAGCCTTGTGACCCTCCAGGAAGGCCTTAGGCCTCTCAAGAATCTGATCCAGAGTCATTTCAGTGGGAGGGCCTGGACTGACATTGGCCTAGGTTTTCTGAGACTCAGCAGAAGCCCTGCAAGATGTGCATAGCCACAGTCCCGGTGAGCACCCATCAACCTGATTCTCAAATCTTACTAGGTTTCCTTTGCCTAAAACCTTCCCGATTCATGCTGAGGTCCTGAACCAGCTCTCTGATGTTCAGCCAGCCCTACATGTCCTCTAAGACTGCCACCAGTGGAACAGACAGACTGAAAAATGGGGACACAAAAGCATATGCTTCCACAGAACAGCAAACCGAGGAGGAAGCAGGGCTCCTGCCTGGGCTTGGGTGAACCTTTGGACCAGGCACAAGCACTGGCATATTCTGAGCAACACTGAGACATACCACATTCAGGGCTGAAATAAAGCCCAACATGCAATACTCCATCCACCAGTGGCTGCTCCAAGAGCTCATGCAGATTCCAGACAAGAATACACTTACCTCTGTTGGCTGCAGCCATGGACACCCCCTGCCACCGGGCAAGACACACAGCTCCTGGGTGACACTGCCACTCAAACTCAGCAGCCTGCCATGCTCCAGAGACAGAGGCAGGAACCTGAGGGATGAGGAATAAGACCACCCATCAGTCCATGGCTGATGGGGATCAGGGGGCTTGGCTCCCTCTGAAAAACCCTTGTTGCTTTCAGACAACACAGGGACATCTGTCTGGCCCATGTAGTTACCACACACCCTCATCCCAAACCTGACTAATACCCTACTGTCCTTAAGACTCAGCCAGCTAGCTTCAGTTGACAAAGTGCCAACATAGGTCTCATAAATCCAACCTACCTCAGGCTGGCAGGTTAGACATCTTAGAAAGATAGAGGCTATTATTTCTGGCATTGCTGACCCCAAAGAGCAGGCCCAAGTCATATTATTCAAGTCATATACCCAGTTCAAGTGGATACAGATCAGTCAACAGTATGCTTGCAAGTGGACAAGAATATGAGACAACCCCTTAAGACTTGATATTCATATTCTGGCAGTAAGTCAAGGCCACATACAGAGTCCTGTGGAGGTGTCCCCCTGTGTGAGCCTGCTATTTAGACCCTAACCTGTGTCTTGGAGGCCCCTGGCTCAGCAACCCAAAGGCTGTCTCAGTGCAAAAGTAAGTATAAGAAGAGGCTCAGTGAGATGGTGAGATGGATCAGCAGGTAAGGGCACATGCTGCCAAGCCTGATGACCTGAATTTCATCAGGAGACTCACATGGCAGAAAAGAAATAACTCCTGCACTTCTCCTCCGACCTTTATCCATATCCTGGCTAGTGCATGGGCAAGTATACACACACACACACACACACACACACACACACACACACACACACACA